AACATTTTTTTTAATATAGATTTCAAAAAAAAAAGACACAAAAATAGTTGAAACAAATATTGTAGGGATAAGGTCACTTTTTGGAGTATAACATTTTTTCGACTTTTTCTCTGGAAAGTATTTTAAAATAAAGCAAAAACACTGAAATGCGTAAACACTTAACGGGCACAGCTAGTCCAATGGCCTAAAAAAGGTGATTGTTGGGAAATTTTTTTAAAAAAAAATACTTTATCAATTATTTCAAAATTTTAAGAATATATTTATACATATTTCAAGACTATACAGAGAAATTTTCGAAGAAAAAAATTAAATATGTTTTAAGTTATAGTCGATCTCCAATGGCGCGAAATAAAGGTCCTTCACTGCTGCAGTGATTCCGGCCTTCTCCGTGGATGAAATCTAAAAAAAAAAGATTCTCTACTAGATCATAATTTCTGTACAATTGACAATATGGCGGCGTTTTAGAAAATATAGTGGAATTTTACCAAAAATTTTGGTCGTTTTTGGCCAGGCAAAATTCGATTTTTTGATCAGATCAAAAATCAGTAGGTTATTGTACGGAGAACTACATAAAGAACATGTAAAGAAATTGGATAGTGATCGGATCATTTGTTTTTGAGTAATCACTGCAGCAAAATCGGAAAATGCTGTTTCGAGAAAAACGCATTTAAAAATAAAATGAACGTTTTTACTCGTAGCTAATGCGATTCTCTAGCTGCCGAGCGACTGCTCTTTACATTGCTTTAACTCAACAACTATTTGAGATATCGATTTGAAATTTTAATATGATTTTTTTAAGGGTGTAATCTAACGAAATATGAAAAAATCGATTTTTTTTGAAATGTCACACTAGGTGTGCCCCTTAACGCCACATCAGCAGTATAGATTTAGCACCAATGTAATGTCGATGAAGAGTAACGTGGCTCTGGCGCACTTTACATACGAGTATACTTTTAATCATCTATAGTATTTGACTTGTTAAAACTCAATCGGCAAAGGAAGTACATATACACTTTCTGTTGAATACTCAGACGCATCAATAGGTAAATGAAGCTAAGTATGTTTGTACACACTCTAGTGTGGATGCTATGGAGTCATAGCTGTGGCTCAAATAGAATTAAAGAGTTTGCTTAAATTCGTTGGGTATTGGAAATATACTTGTTTTGCCGTTTTAAAATCAATTAAAAAATATTAAGTAAATATTGACGATACTGACGATCACAACATAGTGGAATACCTTAAATACTTCACACAATTTGTTTAATTTTTTTTAAATCAGAAGTAGAAGTTACTGACACTAATTAGTTATGAAGAAAATAAGGATAGAATCAAGGCAAATTCGTACGCGGTAGTAGCAAAAATACAAAAACAAGAATCCCTTGTATTTTGTTTGTGTAATTTGTTGAAATGGGAGGAAGTACAAGCAATTATATGATCTAAAAACTTCACCTTCTATATATTCGCCTTGGATAGAATATTTTACTGTTTTTTTTTTAATTCAGTGTCAAAAGTTTCTAAAATGCATGAAAAATATTCAAATATTCAAAATTTATTTGCTAATATTATATTATAACAACCTATATATAAATGGCGCTTTGTAACCGCTGAAGTGATTTTACGCCCGGACTCCTCATCCAATTTGTTTTTTTTTTTTTGGGTCTTAATGTTTTTTTCTTTCATGCCCGAAATTCACTCGGAGGGGCGACCGTAACTGGAAAATTTAACTAAACTTTTTTATTTAAATTAATTTTCCATAACTTTTCGGTGTCGGTGGCACCGAGATTTGGACACGAGCCTTTCGAATGTCAGTACGCAATGCTAACCACTCAGCTAACGTGGCCTCCATAATTTCTCATATCCTCTGATTTATTTCGATCACTGAATACAATTTCTTAATTGTAAAGAACGTTTATTTATTACTCAATAAATCACAATTTGTTTACTTATATCACAACTTTCCCATTATTATTGTTTTAGAATGATATGACAGGAGTCCGAAGTTGGCTTTTAATGAGCTAACAGGGCTAATACAGATGTTTTTCATGTTAAATGATTTTCAAACAAAATGCAGTAAGTTGAGATATCATTGAGGGAAAAGCATGACAGAATATTGGCATATTTTTAATTTTTTAATATGGACTAGAAATATCTTATGCTATGAAAAAGGCAGCTAGAAGTCGATGCGAGTCCAAGGAACTATCATGTCTTCAAGCAAGTCGAGAAAAAATTAGCATTTACTCATTGAGGTCAATGAAAAACTATTAGAGAAAACTCGGACTCTACCAGGTCTTGCGCTAACTTGGCAAGAATAACGGGGCGAAAATCCCGATTTAGCTGGGATACAGCAAGTTCTTATTCTAGATGCAAAAGTTCATATCTTTTACAGTCTTTGTTGTAAATATTTTAGTCTTCGGACGAAAAAAAATAAATCTTGATGGCCGAGCTGTTTTTTTTAATGGTGTGTAGACTTTTACACGAAAAGCTAGGCTGCAACTACGAATCACAACATCTCGTGTGATTAGCTGATACTGAATTAAAGTGTTGGAAAGCGGTCTTCTGACCTTTCTTGAGACTCATAAGGTGGAGGCAACAGAACATTGCTCACATTCATGTAAACAAAGATATTTTTTTGGCTGAATGTTCTACAGAAACCATTGACTGGCTGGTCTTAAGGCAAGGTTCCTCAAAAAAACATGTCTTTTCACACAAATTTCATTAAAAAATATATTTTTATACAGCCTTGGCCAAAAGTATTCGGCACCCCACTAAAATACAAGTATTCTCAAATGTGGCTATCAAAGTTACCATTCCTTTTTGTAAATGTCTTACATGGGTGTTTAACTGTTGATTAAACGAATAAATTGTGTAATATTTAAAGTCACAACACCCCGGGTAATAATTCAAATTCCAAGTAAAGAAGGTAAGCCTCAGGTTGAAATTGCCAATTTGATGGGATGTTCGCGGTGCGCGGTCCAATGTGCTATCAGGCGATTTGTGGAAATGAAATCCCACAATAATAAAAAAAGTGGAAGAAAGCGTCCAATCAGTAAATGAGAAGACCGTATACTTACACTCGAGTCTCTCAAGGATCGCAAAAAATCTGCTTCTGCCCTTGCAGCTGCCCTTTCGGATAAATTTAGTAAACCAGTTAGTGCTCGAACAGCTAGAAGAAGACTTCTGGAAGCAAGTTTAAAAGGATGTAAAGCCCGAAAGAAGCCATTGCTCTCAGAGTGGAATAGAATAAATCGTTAGGAATGGGCTCGCCGGTAACAGCATTTGACGGAATGTTTTGTAGTCGATGAATCAAACTTCGAGGTAGGCTTAGTTAAGTTCCTCTTAAGTATTAACAGCCATAGCTTTTTAACCTAGAGCAATTTTGCAGGCATAATACAAATCTTATGAAACCATTATTTTTTCTTTTCTGCAGATATTTGGAATACCTGGTGTGACGTCCGTGAGGGAAGAATATCATCATTGCGTGGTACCCACTGTTAATCATGGAGGAGGCAGCATTATAATCTGGAGATGCATGACTGCTGATGGTGTCAACGAAATGTTAGTTTGTGAGGGTCGCATGGACAGTCAAAAGTACATAAATGCATTAGAAGCTGTTTTTCTGCCTTCATTAAAACGCATTTTCGGCGATACTAATTTAGACGTGGTTCAATTTCAGCAAGTCAATGCTCCTCTTCACAAATCAACACGGTTTCTCACTCTGTATCACATTGGCTATGGCCGGAACTATATCGAAATATTAAAAAAAAAAAACAAAGGTGGCCTCTTTTTTACCATTTTTTTCTTGTTTAATTGCTTAAATATTTTTAAATAACAATGAATATTTTCGGGTTTAGTACTGACCATAGAGAGCAATTAAAATATTTGTTCGTGATGATTTACCGCTTGGCGCGTTCCACTTTCCCCTCTTCTCTACTTAAGTAAGGCATTTACCACCTTAAGCATTGAAATTGTTAAACACTGACACAAAAATGGTGATTCAAACACATTTCGTGCTTTGAGAGGAGATCAGGGTACAGATATTGCTACTGTAGGTGAGAGTGTAGCCGAAGACCCGAACATGTCTATATCTCATACATACTCAAGAGTTCTGCCTTAATTACGACACATTATTAGCGTATTTTGCACACCTACAACACATACATATAAAGTCCAGCTCACCCAACAGCTGAAGCCAGCTGACCATCGAAAACGCTGTACGTATGTAAGTCGATTGGGTCCTTGAACAACAATCAGTGAGAATCCTCAAATATTAAAAGCGATTTACACATGTAGTTTGAATTATGAAGAATATTTTCAGTGAAATAGAAGTAATGCAATTGAATAATTCAAAAAATAAAATAATGTTTAATTTTTTGTCTTTTCCACATTTTGCGGCTGCAGCTGAGCTTCAATTAAATTGGTTTTATTATAAATACAATTTTTTCAATACTAAATAAATACATATAGTATAATATATATTTTTTCACATTTTGACTTACATCACTTTTCACCATAACAGCTCAAGTGATGCAATAATATTATGATGAGTAATGAGTAATCTTTTTAAAGCTTTCTCTTGGAGAGCGCTACTCTAGAGAATATAATTTTTTATCTCTACCTCAATTGCTGACAACATTATCACACCAATGCAAACGCACATGCACTCACCTTGGTATCGATATATATACAAATATGTATATGCAATAGCCATACAGTATGAGAGTATGCTTGTGAGTACACATTTATTCTCTCCTCAATCATTTTGTTTATATTAATTTGCATGTTGAAAGCAAAGTTATGCCATTTCACGGTCGTTGGTCGGTCTAGCCGGTAATGAGTGCGCTGAATTGAAGGGTTTTGCAATAAAAATATACATATTAATCGATAAGCGCAAAAGAGGATAAAAAGATTTTTCACTTAAGTGATTACAGATAACTACCAAGAAAAAATAATATAAACTAATAATCGGGAAAAAGTGAAAGTTGAACTTGCAAAGCACACGTTAAATAAATAAAACTCTGCACGCACAAACGAAGCTAAAAAAATATGTCTGAGACAATGCCACGTGAGGTAAATGAGTGTATGATTGATAGAGTGAGTAGAGCATTGCGCTCTCTGTTTCTCTAAGAGCGATTCTTATGGGACATAAAGTCTGAGCGCTTTTGAAAATTTAATGTATACACATATAACATAGTTGTATTTGTTTTTGTTGCTATTGCATATATAGCTCAACATAACATACCCATATATACGTATATATACCCAGCAGGGAAAAGGTAGACTTAACAGTGTACAAAAATTCTAGTTAAATCCTAGTATTTTGAAGACGAAATCATATTAGTTTGGCCACGATAACTGAGTGGTTAGCTTTGCCTACTGCCATTCTAAAGGCTCAGGTTCAAATTTCGGTGTCGTACTGGCAGCCAAAATGTTATAGAAAATTAATTTAAATAAAAAATGAAGATAAATTTTCTAATTACGGTCACCTCTCGACAGGAAAATATCAAACCCTGAGAGTGTATTTCTGACATGAAATAAAGCTCCTCACGAAATACCATCAGCAGTTCGGTTTGTTGGTAAATGATCAAGACGCAAAACTACGAACTGGAGGAGGAGCTCGGTCGAAAATCGCTTGAGCGGTTACAAAGTGCCATATATATATTTATATATAAACCAGGATCGTACTAGTATTTAGTGGACGAAAATATATTAGTTTGTGATAGACAAAAATTATACCAGTATTTCTCGGTACAAGTTGAAATAGTTTGTCAAAATTCTAGTGGGCGAACTAGTATTTTGGGAAAAAATTTATGGCCTAAATAATATTGAACTTTCCACTAAAACATAAATAACCTCATATTATTGTGGCTTTTTATGTCTTGTTTTATTGTAAAAAAGGTTAAACAGTACTAATTAAGCTTCAAATACATAGATCAATATCTGATCGACCTCCACTTCCAGGAAATAGTATTCCAATTTTCAAATAAGGTCAAACCAAAGTTCCTTTTTGCAAATAAGTTGGTTTATAATCAATTTCCAATGAAAAAAGTTTTTCAGCACCATTCTCAAATCTACCTGAACACACTCAAAAAATTGTATTAAAACCGGTTGAACCGTTTGCAATGTCTGAGGTAAACTAGTTCTCAACTGTTATAAAACAACCAGCATTTTAACTGGTATATAAACAAGTATTAATATAGTGTGAAGCTGATGCATATTCTGGCAACTGACAGTTCGTAGGACATCGCAATGTTAAAAAATACCAGTTACTTATATGAAAAATAGATGTAAAACGTACTAGTGGGTGTGAAAATGGAAACTTGTTGGATTGTATTTAGAAAGTAGTATTTTTTCCTGCAGGGTATGTCACATCAGCTGTGCTTTTTTTGGTAAGCGTCAGACTAATTGATAAGACCGGTTACACACATCTTCTAAACATACATATTTCTAAATCAGTTAACAAATGAACAAAGTTCATTTCTTTTAACAAAAATGTTAGATTTGAAGATTTTTGTTTGTTTAAAAGTCAAAGTTTATTTTTCTTGTTAAAAAAAAATTATGTATTATTACATTTCATAAATATTTATTACTTTTAATTTCGTGATATAATTTTTACAGTTTTTATTACTGATATTAAAGAAAAAAAAATTAATAACAATTGATTACTTTCGGAAATTTGTTAATATGAATATTTAAAACGTCATTAAAATTAACGAAATATTTTTTCGCTTTAGCCGCCTCTCTCTGAAATGGTGCTGATGTACCAAAGAATTGATCTGATACCTTTTTTATGAGTGTTTTCGATATAATCCTTAAAATCCTTGGAGGGAATCTGCAAGTCGTGAGAGCTTGTTTCTCTTTCGTTACTAAAATCAGCTCATTAGTCTTCCGAGTTAAGCCCAAAATGAGGCAAGTGCATGTCGAAGCAGACGAGCCAGCAAGAAAAGATTTAATCTCAACCTCAGCTAACTTGCACACGATGTAGGCCTATCACTTCTCTCTCCATAATACCTGCTCGGGCCAATAGCAGACGTTAGGTTGAAATCACTTTCAATGTAATTAAACAGATTTGGCCATTGATCGATGAAAAGAGAACTGAGTTTATATTCCTTCTAAACTGAACATTCGTGAGCATGAAACCGGTGGAAAACCCTGCTTGGTGGGAACTCATAGCAGAACGACGGGTTACTTCTTTAATAACTTCTGTCGCAGTTGCCGAGACAGAGATATAATTGAGGAGCAGTTAGTGGAGCACTGTCTCTGCCACTGCTCTACTCTAAGTGCGGTGCGACATGGTTTCCTCGGTAATTTCTCCTTTAACTGCCTTGCAGAAGTGGCGTCAGTAAGTGTCTAAGAAAGTGAGAATAATATCTTTCGTTGACCCCCATGGGCATCGCAGCAAATTAATAGGATGCGTGTGTGTGCTCGATGTGGCGACCGAATTCTTAACATTGCGTTCTGCCACTTTGACGGTCAGAGTTCGAGTCTCCGTTCGACTAACAATCAAGATAATAGAAAATTAATTTTTCTATTTTCGATCGGCATTCGGCAGGGAATATCAACCCCTGACATGAAGAGAAGAAGCTTGAGAGGCGTTTAGAGGTGTCACAAAATATATTCCGAGTCAATCCACTTGTTAGAGAAATATCCAGACACACACCATCAATTGGACGAGGAGCTTACTTGAACATCTTTACAGCGGATATAAACACGTATGTGCGCTCGACCAAGTGATCTCGCGACTGAGCAACATCATTAACCAACTAACTAACTATTTGGTACACAGGAAGAGCGCTACCATTAGGTGCTGCTGGCTATCTATAGTCAGTGACCGCTGCCACGCCCTTCACTGTTGATGATTTTTCCAGTTGAACCTGAAGTTTGGCTTTTCATGTCGTTTTTGCGCTTAGCTGGAACTGTTGCTCAATATCCTTCCTCGATTTGGTGCATAAATCTGAATTTTTAGAAGTGCAGTTCGACCGCGCGGCGTAGTATGCTTGGCCTTCAAGTAAATCGTTTTACATTCAATCTGACTGCTCTTCTTCATCTTTCGCCGCGTTCGACTTGCAGCTAAGTCTACATTCATTTAACCTTCAACTCCTGCTTACTGGGTTTTGCCCTAGGCCTGTTCCTTCCTCCTTAGATATTAGCAAGACCTCCTCTCGTCTTAGCACTTTCACAATTCTTGCTGTGATTTTAATTTTTCTCAGCGTCGTTAGTTTTGGGGGTTATCAAATTCAGATACAGTGTCAATGAAGCATCTGGGTTTTGGCTCAATGAAGCCACACTGGTAAACTTCAAATTGGTTTGTTTATAATGGACTTTAATCACTCACAGAATATGCTCGGTAAGACATTAAATACGATAATGAGAATATTTGAACCAAAATAATCGGTGCAGTTTATGAGGTTCCTTTTTTTAGGTCATCGACACACGCGCCTTTGTTCCTCGAGCTCTGTTGTAGTCGGGTGGATCAGATGATCATCTATGTTGTCGCTATTCACAGCTCTTGAATTTTTATATCTCTACTGCTGGCTACCTATTGGCGAAGGTCGAAGTGAGTATGAAATCTTCTTCTCCGGAAATCGCATAAAAAGCCGCAAGCAAGAGAAGGGTGAATACATACATAAGCTTGCGTTAGGCGTTTACCTGTTTATATTAGCTTAGCCTCAGGCCGTTTACTATGCCGATGCTGCCTCCAATCCTATAATTCTTATCTTCTGTTATCTTCTTTTCGTGAAACTATCTACTTTGAATGCAAAAAAAACGTTAAAATAATATATAATTTTTTTTTCCAGTACGAGGACGTACGCATCTCTGTGCCCTGGGGCCACATTGCTGGTCGCTGGTATGGCGAACGTAACCTACGTCCAATACTCGCCATACACGGCTGGCTCGACAATCTCGGCACTTGGGACACTCTCATACCGTTGCTACCGCAGCACATTGGCATATTCTGCATAGATCTACCCGGTCACGGCTGCTCTTCACATTACCCCAAAGGCATACCGTATCATGGCATCGACTATGTAAATGTGATTATACGTGTAATGAAGGAATATAAGTGGCAAAAGGTCTCGCTGCTGGCACATTCACTCGGTTCGATAGTCTGCTTTACCTACGCTTCGCTTTATCCACGCACAGTAGACATGCTAATAGCCGTGGATGCAATTAAAGGCATCAACCTGCCACCAGAGTATCAGTTGAAGCTATTACGCACAAGTGCCGAGAAAACATTAGTGGAGGATGAACGTACGGAGAAGTCGATAATGTACGAGCCACCTTCGTATACGTACGAACAATTAAAGCAAGTGTTATACGAGGGCTCAAATAGATCGGTTGATATTGATAACTGTAAATACCTGTTAAATCGTAATGTCACGAAATCTATAAAATTCCCTGAAAAATATTTTTTCTCACGTGATGGCCGCTTAAAATATTATATTCCCTTACCAACGCAGCCTGCGCTGATCTTGGAAATGGCAAAGCGCATCAAAAATGTGCCGTATTTGGTAATAAAAGGCTCGTTATCGAATTTCATTGGTGAGGATTCGAATGAAGTGATTGCGGTGCTGCGTCAGAATAATCGACATTTTGAATTTCACGAAATCGACGGGACTCATCATGTGCATTTGAACAATGCGGCGGAATGTGCAGCTGTGATAAATCCATTTATAAATGCCCACCGGCCGGCCATGCCGAATACTTGGGCCGTTGATGATGACGACGGTGTGGCGAAGAAGCGTAATAGAAATGGCGCCCGGGAACGCTTTCGTTGGCTTAGAAGTAAGCTGTAGTCGCTAAGGAATATTATAATTAAAGAGAGAAACTAAAAGTATTTTTTTTGTGAGTGTTTGTAAATTATTTAAGTGAAATAAATTGAATATATATATATATAAGTTAACACCAAAAATGTTTTCGTGCAATATTTTGCACTAAATTCACTTCTTTCGTAATAATTATAATGCTTGCGCACATTTCCGGTCTTCTATCCAATTTCATTCTTTTATTTCTTTTCTTTTCACACGCGCGTCGAAAAAAAGCTGACGCACTGTCTGCATTGAATGCAACTACACTTGATCACGTTGCACTCAATGTGATGATCATGGCTCAGGTAATTTTAAGTTAATTTTAAGTTAATTTTAAATTCAGTTGTAAACTCGCACCCAGAGAAAGAAGACATAGTCTTCTAGTGCTAATATTAAAACAAATCAAATAAAGACATAGAGGACATAGTCCTCTCTTTTAATAATTAAATAAAAAATTTGTTTTAATAACTTGTATAAATATATTTGAAATAATTATAAAAAATTGTGCTGAAGTGAAATTGTCAGAGTTTTCCACACAGTTGTTTAAATAGATAAAATATATAGGTTGTCAAATATCTCACTTCCGCTTTTTTGTCTTTTGAATTTCGCGGCTATGTACAAAGCGCTATCTGGCAACACTATACATAATTTGAAAGGTCTTGACATAACCTACTAAACAACGCTATGCATGATTAGTTTGGATATTGTGTTCAACAGTTTAGACGTGTAAACATGGAATTCACTAACGCCGAAATTCGCGCTATCACTTCGAACCGCGGAGGAATGGTTTCGACGATTCAGAGTCGGTGAAAACGACACCATGGATAAGCCAGCCGGCGGAAGACCTGTGACGATAAATACCGATCAAATCATGGAATACATCGAGTTAGACCGGCATATGGCATCTCGTGATATCGCCCAGGAGATGAGAGTTATTCACTAAACCATTTGAGCCATCAGCAGAAGGCTGGATACAAAAAAAAGTTTGATGTTTGGGTGCCGCATAATTTGACGCAAAAAAACCTTCTGGACCGAATCAACGCCTGCGATATGCTGCTGAAACGGAACGAACTCGACCCATTCTTGAAGCGGATGGTGACTGGCGACGAAAAATGGATCACATACGACAATATCAAGCGAAAACGGTCGTGGTCGAAGGCCGGTGAATCGTCCCAAACAGTGGCCAAGCCGGGATTGACGGCCAGGAAGGTTTTGCTGTGTGTTTGGTGGGATTGGAAGGGAATCATCCACTATGAGCTGCTCCCATATGGCCAGACGCTTAATTCTACCATCTACTGCGAACAACTGGACCGCTTGAAGCAGGCGATCGACCAGAAGCGTCCAGAATTGGCCAACAGGAAGGGTGTAGTGTTCCACCAGGACAACGCCAGACCACACACTTCGTTGATGACTCGTCAGAAGCTACGGGAGCTCGGATGGGAGGTTTTATCGCATCCACCATATAGCCCGGACGTAGCGCCAAGTGATTACCACCTGTTCCTGTCCATGGCGAATGCCCTTGGTGGTGTGAAGTTGAACTCAAAAGAGGCTTGTGAAAAGTGGCTGTCCGAATTCTTCGCAAATAAGGAGGAGGGGCTTCTACGAGGAAGGTATTATAAAGTTGCCGTCTAGATGGAAACAGATCATCGAACATAACGGCGCGTATTTTAACTAAATCCGATCACTGTAACACTTTTTATAACGCATTGAATGAAGAACAAAAAAGCGGAAGGGAGATATTTGACAACCTTATATTTTAAATATTTAAAAAATTAGTTTAAGAAAAAATTTTCCTTTAAAAATTAGTTTAAAAAAAGTTGTAAAGTTCCAATCAGTTTCTTATATCAAAAGGTTTTTCTATGATATAAAAATTAAATATTTATTATTTTCAAGAAAAAATATAATTTTTACATCCCTTGAAAATTCTACCTTACTTCTCTTTGCTTGAGAGTCGGAAAATATTTATAATTTTTTTTTTCAGTTGATCAGTCAAAAAGGTAGTGAAATTGCGGTACATTTAATTTACAACCACAAAATTTCCTTACTCTTTTTGGTTAAGTTGGCAGCACTGTCCTTAATTCATGTGTCAAAAATGAACGCGATCTGTCAACCAGTTTATTTGACAGCAGGAGCTGTTGAAATCGGTCGACCTTAGCGCCCTCTGCGAATTTTCTTTTATGACGTCAATAGAGTTGTAACGGGTTCAACGGAGTGGTAAGTTATGTTTTGAAAACGAAAAAGGTCGCTTGTGGCGCATGGCTGATCGATGTTATTGAACGAATTTTTGGTCTCAAAATCGTTCACAACTACAGACCGATTTGATGGCGCATTATCGTCATGAAAGTTTCCGGCGCTTCAAAACGCTCAAATAATACCCTTTATTCACCTTCTGTCTCATTGGGTCGTGAATTCGATGAACCGAACCGCGAATATCAAAAAAACCGATTTCCGAAAACTTTCTGGTCTTAAGTACGAGTATATTGGTATATGTGTATTTCATCCGCCGATCGTAATAGCCGAGTGGTTAGTGTTTAAGCTTTTGGGGGTACTTAATAGGAAAAAATTAGAGGTGGTGCGGGGTGTTCTTCTTTCTATTTACACACTAGGTATTTGTTGCGTGGAACTCGGGTGTTACTAAAATATTCTTACCATTTGCACGTTAATAGATTGGTATCGATGGTGGTTGACATAGGTTACTTCATGATTTCTGGGACTAAATTATTAGACTTGAGTGCAGTAAGAGGGGCTATCAGTGCCTCCAACAAATGGTGGTGATGACGATGAAGTAAACATTTAAGGTATGGGAAATCTAACCGCAGCAAACGACCTACAGACGATTGATTCATAGATATATATTGCGAAGTATCGCAAGGTGGTTAGAACCTTTAAGCATTTTAATGGTGTTAAAATTGGAAAAAATCTTTAAAAGTTATATTATTACCTGCTTCTCTGTAGATATCACTGTTATTCTTCTGCCTCTTAGTTGGCTGTCAAGTTGAAAAACGAATTATTCATCTAAATTTGGAGTTTATTTGTGAAGATTCGGAAACACAGTTAGTTAGTATAAACTGTAGATCCCTTCACAACACAATTTGAAGGTGAAGCTCGGCCGAAACTTGCTCTATCGGTATATTTTCATATAAAATATGTATTATTTTTTAATTAAAAAAAGTTGCTTGTTGTATAGGAAAGTAGGTTACTGTCATAATCGCTCTTCAGATTTTACTTATATATGTACATATATATAATTGGCGCTTTGTAACCGCTGAAGCGATTTTCGGTCGAGTTCCTCCTCTAGTTTGTAGTTTTGCGTCTTCACAAATGGAAGGACCTACAGTTTGTACTAAGCCGCCTCCAAACGGCGTATCGTTTTTATAAGAGGAGCCTCACTCGGCGGGGTGGACGTTCGCTGTCGAGGGGCGACCGCAATTAGAAAATTTAATTTTATATTTTATTTAAATTCATTTTTTTTACTTTCACAACAAGCTAACTGAGCTAACAAAGTGCCAAAAGTATTATTGGCGATACCAGGCATATTGGTGTTGATTTATAAAATCATTTGGCGGCTAGAGAAACACGGGCATGCAGCGGTCTTTGCGGAATCTATATTGGCAGTGAGGGTAATAAGTTTGTAATTCTGTATGACCGCTGCGTGGACTGTTATCAGTTGGTTCTGTGCATACTTTCACCTCCTGCTTCCACCTTCACTACTCCTGTGGGAACAAATGGGCGTAATGCGCGCCGTCGGGAGTCGTGTTTTAACCCCCGCTCTATCTCTGAGTTTTATAACTTGCTGATGGGCATGTAGTTGACGGTTCACGTCGTTGTCTTTACGGTAAGTTTATTCGAAAAGGCGAATTTCCAATTAATTTTCTTGTCGGTCTTCTTGCGAAAAGTAAGGTGGGAAAATCGAAGTTTCTGATTCCACATGCAGCGTTGGGCGAGCAGGTTGTGTTGCCTTGGACTGGTCGTGAGGCACCTTTTCTTTGTTCCGGAGTCAGAAGAATGATGACTTTATTATTGCTTCCTTCTGCTACACTAACATTTGTTTCAAAGGAAACAATTCCAGCGATATTTTTCTTGAAAACAGTTCAGAAAATTGTTATTCATGTGAGTATCTAGATTTTCAAATTAGTGAAATTTCTGAATAAATATGTTATGTGAAACCTTTACACTTCATCTTATTTACTTACTATACAAATTTCGGAGGCTTTAAAGATATGCCAGAAAACAGTTTGAAACCATTTGCGTAACCTAGGATGCAAAAAGTAGCTCGATGTTTGGGCACCACACGAGCTAACGCAAAAAAAAAACATGATGGACGGAATTTCCATCTTCGAATCGCTTACGACAACATCGAGCGCAAACGGTCGTGGTCAAAGCTCGGGGAAGCGGCCCAGACTGTGGCCAAGACCGAATTGACGGTCAGGAAGGTTTTGCTGTGTGTTTGGTGGGATTAGCAAATAATCATCTACTACGAGCTGCTCCCCTATGGCCGAACGCTCAATTCGGTCCTCCACTGTCAACAAATTGACCGCTTGAAGGCAGCACTCATCCATAAGAGGCCGGAATGTGTTCCATCAGGACAACGTTAGGCCACACACGTCTTTGATGACACGTCAGAAGCTCCAGGAGCTCGGATGGGAGGTTCTAATACACCCACCTTAGAGTCCATGGCGAATGCGCTTTATGGTGAGAAGTTGGCTCTCCGAGTTTTTTGCCAATAGGGACGCAGCCTTCTACGAGAGTGGTATAATGAAGTTGGCATCTCGCTGGCAACAAGTTTACGAACAAAACGGCGTTTATCTGACTTAAATCGGACAAATGTACACAAAGTTATCATATTTTGAGAAATCAATACAAGACCGAACGAACTTTTTACTTGACCTTAATAGTATACAAGTGCTGTGATATGTGTAATAGGGTTTATTTTATAGAATAAAATAATTAAAAAAATATTTAAAAAATAATGTTTCTGAGTTTTTTTGTAAGAACTTATATTTTTGACCAAAAAAAGTAGATTTATTTTATTGCTGGGTGTATTGGTTATTA